GTTGCATCTGCATGTAGATAGTTGTTCAACTTTCCCAGTGTTAAAACATACACAAGCAAAGCTGGTGCAAACAGATATAGGATACACAATACCCTATGATCAGGATACATATTACGTATACTGTATAGAACATGAAGCTTTATGAATATTAGGGTTCAGATACCTTTAACTACACCCCATATAATTGGGTTCAAAAATGGCTAACCTTTTCAATAATTTACGTGCAATGCAATTTGAAGCATCTTTTTATGGTTTTATGTTAATTGCTGTCTTGGAGTGTCCTGTATAATTATAACTGCTATTCTTTAGTAAAATACAGGTTTTTAACGTCTTTGCAAATTTATTAAAAATAAAAAGCCTAAATGATTCCATTGCATAAGTATTCATACCCTTATCTGGGACAGTTGACATTTAGCTCAGGGATAATATATTTTGCTTGTAGATGTTACTGCACTTCGAGTGAAGTACCTGTGGCTAATTCAATTGAATGGGTATGATTTGGAAAGGCATACATGTCTTAACAAAAGGTTTAACAGCTGATAATGCATATCAGAGCAAAAACTAAGCCCTGAGGTAAAAAAAACTACCTGTAGAGCTCAGAAAAAAGATATATAAAAAGATAGATATATGGTCACACTTTCTTTTAAGATCTCTATTCTCACCAATTCTTACTATTAACGGCAACTTTTGCCTCTAAAACTCCTAATTTGCTGCTAAAATATGGTCAAGCAGAACCTTTTTCAAGATTCATTTCTAGTCAAGGATTGTCCAAATGAGTCAACGAGTGAGTCTTTTAAATGATTCATACTGCTAAATTATGTATTGAAAACTGATTTGTGAGTCTTTTTGATTAAAAAGAACTAGCTCATATGGATCATCCGTTTGTGAATCAAACTAGTTTTGCAGCATGATTGTTGTTGTCTACAGGTGGCGAGGACACTGCACATGAAATGTTGATCTTATTCTTCTATTAATCTCATATATTGTCTGTTTATTGTCTTGGTTGTATTTTGTGGCAACCAGTCTTTCTGTCTCATCACACTCAGACTGCAAGGCCACAACTCTGCTAGAATGTCCCCTTCTTTTGCCACGGCACTGTATAGAATCAATGTGCGTTTTGATGCTGTCTATCATTACTCTGATTGCAAGGGTGAAAAGGCAGCAGCTGGAGAGCCGTTCCTGTGGGATCACCTGGGAAAGATGTAAGAAATTTGATGAATGTACTGTAACATATGGCATTATTCACAGAGAGTCACCACCCTGAGTCAATTCGTTCTAATGGCTGACTAATTTAAGTCTTTTAAAGTCAATACCTGATATCTGAGGCCCACAGGGGTTACATGAGAACGCTTCGAATGGAATGTGCATGACGCCGTGTATCACTTGTCCGTTGAGACGCTCAGGGCATAACATGGCATGTTAGTTACACTATCCTTCAGGATATGACAGGTTACGTGTAGCGTTAATTTAGATGTCCTGAGCTATGAAAAGATGCTAATTTGTTTTTCAATACTTGATTAGCAGAAGAAAGAATTTTTCATATGATATACTTAAAATGTTTATTTGAAATGTAGAGTTGAGTGATATTTATGATAGACAAATTTCAGTGGTAATGGTGAAGCAGCTCAGCATGTTTTCCTAAGTGAAAGTTTGATTCAGATAGTATCCGAGTACCTGAGCTCTACTACTTCAAACGTTTGTAGCAATGAATCGCTGAGCAAATGGAAACTCACAAAAAGCATTTCCTGGCGTAACCCCCTTGGCATTTGTGGCCAGCTCTTGAGATATCTCTGTTACTCCACTGGATCTTGTTCCAAAGGTCTTTGAAGGCCTGCCATTCAGCATATCAACAGTTCTCTCTGCTTAAAACTTGCATGCCTCTGAGATGGGCTGTGTTCATTTTAATGTCAATTTTATCTCAACCAACAGTTAAAAAAAGCTGTGGAAATCGGTTGCTGCACATTAAATGTGTATTTGAGAGGTGTTGTAGGATGTTTATTATGTTTGTGAGTGTTTGTCTGTAAAAAGTCTGCAAGTATCTGTATGCTTACATTAGCCAGATTTGCACACTTTTGGATACGTAAGTCACGCTTAATAAAATATTGACTCTACTGGCATCTCCAAACAAATGTATGCTAAAGCTTTTCTCAGAACTAACTTTATTATTTTAAACAAATGGTGTCAATGTGAATGTGAATTTTTGTTTGGTTTTGTTCAATTTTGTTTCAATTTTCGTTCGTCTGGGTTTGTTTAGATTTACTTGGTCTCATCCGGTTTGTTTGGTTTTGTCTGTTTGGGTTTTTGTTCTATTTATTTATTTATTTTTGTTTTGTTTTTTGTTTTGAGTTGGCGTATGAAGTCTTACAGGTGTCCTATCGGAATAACAATATTTCCACGTTTCGTTTCATTTCGTTTTGTTTTTGTACAAGTGTCCTAGCAGTATAAACTCAAGGTTTTCAACTAATTGTTTTGGAATTTGAAACCTATGGAAGCCTGTTTCAACCTTAGCAATTAAAAACAATTCAAATTAAAATAAATTTAAAATGAATGAATGAATTAATTAATTTTACTATGAGGTAGAAACCTGCTTCCATAGAAACATCTTTTTGTGAAATGTTTTAATTGTGCTATATTTCTTTTAAAACAAAATCAAAGCCTCTTGATTTAATATTTCATCTGATGTGATGATATTCATATATTAAGTGCTGCTATGGTGTCCAAACACTTCTTGGGACCGCTGTGTGTGTGTGTGCCTCTGTATTGGGAAGAAGCCAGATTGTATTGTGACCTGGCCTGTTCTGCAGCCAGGACGCACTGTGAAGTACATAATTATCAGGCAAGTGAGCAGAGATCCCTGCGGCATTTTGACCTCACACTGGCGTGACGAGACAGACAGAGAGAGGGACGCAGCCCTGATTTTAACCCATCCTTCACCTCCCCGCTCATGCTGAAATGCCCAGGGCGAGCAGAGGCTAACTATGCAGTCAGTCTCTCCATCCTCACTCCCGAGGTAGGAACAGCCTGTAGACCTGGAGCTCAAATCAAGTCCCTCTGAAAAGGGCGAATGCAGCTGTTCTTAACTGGGGCTGCTCTTGGGGAGGTGGGACAACAAAGGAAAGGTGCACTGGTTCCCTCAAGGAGTCATTAGATTGTGCTGAAAGCAGGACGGGAGTGCTCTCTCCAAAGACCCCTCTGAACATACAGTACATCATTTAAGAGCAGTCGAGGTCTAACCTCCATCATGCCGTCCCAATGCAAGCTTCCCTTCACCTGCGTTTTCACAGTACTGCAATCCTGATCAAGTGCAGATTCTTACTTGCATCTATCTTTGATAGCCTCAGCCAAAGATTGTGTAGAAAGTAATTGCTCGCTGGATTGAGGTCCTGTTGAAAATTGAACGCTAACTTGCTGAACACTGCAAGTATACAGTGCATACTGCCCATTTTCTTTAAATAGTATGTGAAATAATAGGTATTATGCAACAATAAATGCTTAAAATTTTAGGATACAACTTTGTCACATGCAGAGAGTTGCATGTGAGTTGGGGACAAGTAATTTGACATTTTTAATTTTATTTATATTTATAATAATATGTTTTATGTACTTTATATATTTTGTTCTTTTAAATTATTATTTTTTTATATTAATTTCTTATCGGAAGCAGTGTGAAGCAGTTAGGTTCTTTTTTATTTTAATTTAATTACATTTAAGTTTTTATTTATTTTTATAATTTATTATTTTTATTTATTTTAATATACTTTTTTGTTTTAATGTATTTCATTTTTTGTTTGGATTTTATTGCTTTTATTAAATTTTATGTATTTATTTTTCTATTCTATTCTGTCTGACCACATGGCAGGTGTAAGCATGGTCCAAATTAGTAAGCAAGCAACAGTGCTCTCTTGCAGTTTCATTAATCGTTGTTCAGAAGAGCGCAAGTGAATAGGAACTGCTAAAATTACATATCTAAAATGTTATTCAAATACAATAATCATATTTTTTTTAATGAAGCCTCACGATCATCATTTTCACAAAAAAGAGTCTCACAGCTGATGCAAAAGGAGGCTTGCCAGATTTCTCTTATTTGTATTGACCTTGTTTTATGGAGAAGGGCTCCAGATTAGTGTTCTCGAGCCCAAGCTTTCACTCAACTGTCTTGACAAGCCTCGCCATCATAAGAGTAAATTAGTCGCACCTCTATCCGTGAACTCGGAGACATTATTAAAAAAAGGGCGATTCACTCATCTGGCCCTAATATAATTCAGTATTAATAGTCTCACTCGAAAGCGTAACTAAGACAAATTGCTGTATTTTGAGGGCCAGCGTTCCCGTCTCTCTAAGTACCTTCTGACTTATTTCAGAAATCTCTCTCTGTGTAGCTGCCGGTCTTGATGTGTCACACCCAACAAGAACCGCTGTAAATTTAGCCTGTCGATACGTGTCCGGCCTCATTTATCAGCCACCTCTGCTCGGCCGGTTTTCCCTCCCTCACCTTCTTGTATTCCTCCCCCCCCCCCCCCTGCTCTCCCTCTTTTGCTTTTCACCACTAGCAGTTTTGACTTTGCCTGTGGTTTTGCCTTATCTCCAATCAGATTCCCTCTCACAAAGCCCTAGCAGGCAGGTGATGGGAATTCTAATCCCGGCTCCAGCTGGAAGGCTTGAGAAAACGAGTGTGTGGTTTTGTGTGTATATTTAGGGTGTGCCATTTGTGCAAATGGTTCACTAAAAAGCACAGAAGTGAGAAAACAGATTTGTCATTTAAATGAGGGCATCTCAACACTCATTCTTGCCATCGGTGAGATAAGCCGCTGTGCTTCACTGACATGATTTTCACTATATGATGGCTGGAGCGGCTCCCTGCTGAATTCCTAAATTGGGGGAAGTCAAACTGATACATTGTCTGCTGACTGGAAAGATTTTCCCCTAAGTTGTCCTGCCAGGATGCTGTGAGGAGCTGGACTCTGTGATTAAACTGGTTCTTGTTCTTTGTGTCTCCTCAGGGTTTGAAAGGAGATCCTGGACCTCAAGGCCTACCTGGTCTCAAAGGTGATAAAGTAAGTCACCCTGCAAGTTTGATTTCTTGTACCAACCTTTACAAACTGTAGCACAGAGAGAGATAGAGGCATAGTCTCTATGATCTTAGGGATGCTTTTCAGTCAGTGAACTTTCCAGAATTTTTCTATACAGTATATAGAAAGCCACAGAGGCCTATATATGCGAGTCATATATTTGCCTGAACATTTTCAAGGTTCTTTTTTTATTTTTATCATTTTAACATTTTAAAGTTTGAAAATGTCACTGCTAAACTTTCTAGAACTCAGATTTTTCCCATCTCAGACCCAGGACATTACTAGAGACTCCTCCAGACCAATATTCAGATTAGCGGTCAACGGATATTGGTTTCTCAGTGGCAGATTCTGCAACCCATCCAATCATAAATATGTGGTGACAGCCTTGCAAAATGTCAATAGTTATTTGTTAGAACTCAAATATGACGTCAGAAAGGTCAAACTACAGAATTTAAAGGAGGAAATGTCTGCATAGTAGGGTTGAACAGAAAATGAGTGACGAACATGAGTTTTGCAGTTTATTGCACATATTGAAATTATATTTAAATTTTAGAAGATAAATATTTATGTAAATTCTTATTTTATATAATCAATTCAAATGTAATGATGAATGGGATATTCATTGGCTGATATTCTAAGTAAAAAGTGTTACACTAAGGTTCAAAAGTCTGGGGTCTTTACGATTTTTTTAAATAAACTTTTGAAGTAATTGCATTTCTCAGTATTTCAAGATAGAAATATCAAATGTGTCTCTAATAATAATGTGTAGTTTAATTTCCTGTTGATTTATATTAGTAGTAATCAATGTGGACATAAGTGGGGCACAGCTGACACATTTTTCAAGAGAATTACTCATGCTTATTGACACTGATTTAACATGCTATGTGCACAAGACCAAATCCAGAGATGTGAGTGTCAAAATCAAACTTTAGTATGTTGTTTCACAAGCCATATATTTCATTTACTGTATATAATATAGATCAATATCTCAGCCAAGAGTGAACACAGATCTAGTCACTTCAGTAACTGTTTGAATCAGGCATTGGTTGCGGAATGTAAAGGTATCCTTTTTATATTATGATATTAATTTACTAAAATCCTTTTAAGAACCATGACCACTGATGATACAAGGAAACATGCGATCATTGATCATGTAGCTTATATTTCTTGTGCTGTGTGTAGCATATAGTAAATGCCTCTGTTAATCAGGCAGATGAAATGCTGCTCTATTTTGTGGGATGTGGGAATCGATTTTATTACTGGAAGTCACATTTGTAGTGATCGTGAAAACCATAATGTACACTACGTGAGAACAAACAAGAAAATAGAAAATGTAGTGTAACTCGGATTGTGTGTAAATATTAAAGGAATGTTTCAGATTATGAACAGGTTAATCTCTATAGGGCCTTTCGCACCGTGGGAACCTTTTCATAGTACCAGAACTAATTGTGGAACTACTCACTTTTTGACGTTTTCGCACCGCCGGAACTGGGTGCGGTTTTAGTACCGGACTGCCTTTTTCGAGAACCAAATTAGCTCCTACTCCGGAGCAGGGTCTAACCGGCACAACTGGTACTACCCGTGACGTAAGTTGACACTGATTGGCCAAACGCGTATGTAAACGCCCTCACCCGCCATGATTTAAAACGCCGTGTAAACATACTGTAAGCATGTCAACTTATTTCGCAAGTATGGAGAACAGCGATAAATGGACGGACGCTGAAGTGCAGGCACTTGTAGCAAATGTAGCACTGCCAGTTGTCGTTGGAGATTTTTAGTCCTCCTTTCCGTTCTTTCAATCGCTTTACGTATGCGTCGATATTCCATGTCCATTATTGTGAAACCCGCGAGACGCAACAAAAACACAGCCCCGATCACAGCGTCCTCCATCCTCCTGTTGTTAATGTTGTTCTTCTTTGTTTCTGTTGTTGAACGCCGCGCACAAATGACGTCGCTGTCGACTGGCTTACGTCACTTCCTAGTACACACTGTTGGTGTGAATGCAACCCTTTAAATGATACTGGGAAATAGATATAATAGAAATACTTTAGTACTGTACATTTAGTTCTGGAACTAAAGTGGTGCGAAAAGCCCTCATTTGCAGGATCTGAGGCATGCTTTCAATTAACGCAGATATGAATTTCAATTATTTAGTAAAAACAGAACAAATATGTTTATATTAAAGCATTTAAAATGGGCAAGGCATCCCAGAGGGTTTCCAAATCGAAAAGTGAAGCTCATATTTTTAGAGATATAATGTTTAATTAATTGTAATGTTCTCTGAGAACACGTCTTCATAAATCTCCCTAAAATTTGTTTTACATATGCTTAAACACAAGACAAAAACATTTAGCCAGTCTGCTAAAATAAAAATTTCATTCACTTAAAATAAAGTAAATAAATGAAATTTAATAAATTGTCTGGGAATGTCTTGTTTTCTAGTAAAAAAAATAAATGAATTGAATCTTTCTACTGGAAGACAGTGCAAAAATACTTTTTGGAAACGCATTTTTTTTTTGTTGCAGTGTTTACTTTAAGTTTCAGAGCAATGCCTTTCCCCAATCACTTTTGTTTTAATTGCATCAATGCTCTGTAAACATAATTTTTTGTTTGTTTTCACAAATTTAGTTTGTTTCCGTGGTAATAGACCACATGTCACAGATGCTGTTGGTAGAACATGAGTCGCCTTTAATCTGGAACTTTCCTTTAAAATGCCTTCCAGAGTTCCAGCTCATCCAGACAGACCTTCACAGCAGAGGGAAGATGTGACTTCAATGAAACAGAATGTAGAATAGAGCTTCCTACTCTGATATCTGCTTCCCCAACCCCCCGTGCACACAGACACACGCGTTCACACACAGACCACCGCGGCACTGCTTTCCAAACAATAGATCAAATGTTATTCGTTAATTAGCTGCCATATTACCCATTGTCTTTTACAGTTTTGGGTTTCTTTGTTTGCTTGCGTGCACACTTAATTGTCAATGCAGTGCTTTCAAGCCTTGAAGTTCTAATGAGCTTAGAGCAGAGAATAAGCAGCTTCTTTTCATCTCATCTCCCAGTCAGACAGAGGGTGGGAGGAAAACCGTTAGTTCGGATTGTAACTGACAGTCGGAAAGACACGTCACGCTCTTCAAACATAGAATGACTCGGAATATCTTCAAACGGGGCAGCTTTAGGTGTTCACAACTTTATATTTCTGCAAACTTTGATGTGGAGTTTCTGTGGATTTAAATTGAATTTGAGGAAGGCTCTGCCTGTTTTTGTCAAGGGGTTTTGACTTAAACTGATGTCTCCGCTTGTATTTCATAACCTTGAATATATGAAAGTCCTTCATTTAAGAGCAGATGAGCACAGATACAGGAACAGCCCAGTCGTTTTATTATTATTATTATTATTATTATTTTATTTTATTTTTTCAGGTATGTCCCACAGAACTATTCTTAAAGGAATCGTTCTCCTGAAAATGAAAACTTTGTCGTTCCAAACCTGTATGACTTTCTTTCTTCTGAGGAACACATGAGGAGCTGTTTCTATAAAACATGGGAGGAATTTTCAGTTAAAATGTGGAACGAAATTTTCACTTTTGGGTGAACTGTTCCCAAAATAGTTGACCCCAGATAAATATGTGGAAATAAGTGTAAACACCATAGTACAGATTAGTTTAAGCGAATTATTGACATTTGGATTTGCATCATTTCTAAGTATAGCACATCTCTCTGAAATATTTGATTCTGATTGGTCAGTCACAGAATTGTGTGGTCCGATATTTTTATTTAATTGCCATTAAACTGTGTAATAAGTGGGATATTATACAGTTAAGCTGATCATTATACTTAACAGACTATATAAATAGACCTGATTTATAATGTGCCAATGCTGTGTTAACTATACATTATCCTTTACTCATCTCTGGATATTTTAGGAACAAAATGCTGCTTTTGGGATGATTTGCTTTTATTTGTACAGTAATCACTCCTCTGAATTTTGTCTTTCTGTTGCAGGGGGAAACAGGTCCGTCAAGTACGGGAACACTCTCGGTATGTATCTTACATCATCCTCCAGCAACCCTGCATGTTATTTCATAGCTTAATGTAAAACTGACTCTTTTTAAATGAAACCAATCATGAAGCATGATCTGCATTATTAATGATATGCATTAAGCAGTGAAATGAGATTTGTGGAGAGTCATTGCTAAGGTTTAAGGAAACGGTTAACACTACTAATTGCTGACATAGATGTGAGAAAGGTGCTCAAGCAGGGTGTAATGATACATACAGTCTTTATACAGTAGGAAAGACAGGTAAACAGAGTTTCAAAGCTGAGAGACAATTACTTTTATTAACCTCACCTTCAGCTGTGTTTGAGTATGATCCAGTCAATTCCTGATGAAGCAAATATCAAATTTTTTATGATTTAACTTACTGATTTACTCTAAAATTAGTCTGATTAAGTACAAGCAATTAATATTTTCAGTAAGGATGTATTAAATGGATCGAAGGTGACAGTAAAGGCATTTATAAATCAATTTCAAACAAATGCTTTTCTTTTGAGCTTTCTATTCATCAAAGAATGCATCACAAGTTTCCACAAAAATATTAAGCAGCATAAGTGTTTTCAACATTGATAATCAGAAATGTTTCTTGATCACCAATCCATCATATTAGAGCGATTTCTGAAGGATCATGTGACACTGAAGACTAGAGTAACGGCTGCTGAAAATTCCGCTTTGAATCACAGGAATGCATTGCATTTTTAAAATATAATAAAATAGAAACCAGTTATTTGAAATTGTAATAATATTTCACAATATTTGTACTGTATTTAGTTCGAGTAAATGCAATTTTGAGACATCTTTCAAAAACAAGTTTGAAAGCAGGATTGTAAAATGTGCTGTTAGCAATGTTTCATGTTGATTTTAATACTGCAAATACTGCATTCACTGCATTCAAGCAAATAAATAAAAAGCAAAGAAGAGCCCACACATGCTCAGTCAGGGGCGACCAACAGCAGTGTGGACAGACTTGGAGGTTAGACGTGTCCTGCAAGTAGAGAGCTAATATTTCCACACATTAAATGAGGGACACGTCCACTATATCTCATAAGACACCAGAATGGGATGTATGTTCTTTGTGTGTAAGGATATAGTACTGCAGCTCTGGCCCTTTATGTAACATAAACATTAAACTAAACCCAGCGGAACTATATTAGGGCATAACAGTTATTTACACATGCTAATTTTACATTTTATGAGGACAAGCAGGAATACCAGGGATTCAAACGTGAGAGCCGACAACACGCTTGCCATATCACCACTCCCTCTTGTAGTCGAGTTGTAAATCATGCAAGACAAAAGCATCTAACAAGCTTTCTTGATGTTTAAACAAATAGCATTTAGCTGACATGTTGGATTTTACATTTCAGGTTTTTATATTGTGTTATGGGTGTTGTAGACATCCTCTAACATCACAGGCCGTCTCTCCCCTGTTACATTCTGACAGTTTTAGGAGCCTTTAAAGCTCTTGTTCTCCGACTTTCACCGAACACAAGGAGCGAATGGCTATTGTACTGCAGCTCTGGCCCTTTATGTAACATAAACATTAAACTAAACCCAGCGGAACTATATTAGGGCATAACAGTTATTTACACATGCTAATTTTACATTTTATGAGGACAAGCAGGAATACCAGGGATTCAAACGTGAGAGATTCAAATAGCATTTAGCTGACATGTTGGATTTTACATTTCAGGTTTTTATATTGTGTTATGGGTGTTGTAGACATCCTCTAACATCACAGGCCGTCTCTCCCCTGTTACATTCTGACAGTTTTAGGAGCCTTTAAAGCTCTTGTTCTCCGACTTTCACCGAACACAAGGAGCGAATGGCTATTTTTGCAGCTGTTTCTAAGATGTGTCAGTATTTTCGAGGATGCCAGCTGAAAGATGACTCCACACTGTTTTACTCTGAAATCTGAAAGACTGTCTGTGTGTGTATGTGACTGGTCATGCTGTTTGTCCTTTCAATGGGTCATGTACTGTAATGATATGTGTTCCTGACCTTTGTTCTAACAGTGTTAACAGCTGAACTTAATTGCTGACTTTGTTTGATGAAACGGGTTATGATCTGTCGTCTGCATTCTTCTAGGTTGAGCAGCAAGCTCAAAAAGGGGACCAGGTAAAAACATATTTGGGTTTTGTGTTCTAAAACTATACTGTACTATACTTTTTCAGAACGTTCTGCAGCTAATCCAGCCAGAACTGCTTAACGTACAGACTCGATTAAAATCTGTTTTGTAGAGAATTTTCGACTGGCTATTTTAATAATTAAAATGTAATGTAAAAAAAAATGTAAATGTAAAAAAAAAAAAAAAAGACATCATACTAACTTTTGTGTTAAAAATTGAGATCAGTCTCTCTTATCTAGTTCTAAATCTATTTTCTGAAAGATAGTATTATGTTATATGGTTCATGTTCAGGGACAACATAAAACAATATGTGCTGAGCATGTCATCTGCAGCACTTAAATAAAACCTAACTTTACCTAAAACTTGTTCTGTTACTTTATTGCAAACACTGGCATTTCCAAATTTAACTAGTGACTTTACACAAGATATTTTTGTATTTACTTCCGTTCAAAAGTTTGAGAGATTTCTGTTCATTAAGAAATTATTTTATTCAGCAAGGATGCTTTTTTCCCGTTTTTTTCTATTCATCAAAGAATCCTGACAAAAGTATCATGGTTTACACAAAAATATTAAGCATCTAGTTTTAACATTGATGAAAAAGAAATATTTCTTGAGCGTCATATCAGCATATTAGAATGATTTGTGAATGTATTTACTTCCGTTCAAAAGTTTGAGAGATTTCTGTTCATTAAGAAATTATTTTATTCAGCAAGGATGCTTTTTTCCCCTTTTTTTCTATTCATCAAAGAATCCTGACAAAAGTATCATGGTTTACACAAAAATATTAAGCATCTGTTTTTAACATTGATGAAAAATAAATATTTCTTGAGCGTCATATCAGCATATTAGAATGATTTGTGAAGGATCACGAGACACTGAAGACTGGAATAATGACTGCTGGAAATCACAGGAATAAATTACATTTTATTTGTGCTGTTTTTACTGTATTTTCTATCAAATAAATACAGCTTTTGTGAGCATAAAGACTTCTTTCAGAAACATCTTACATACCCCAAACTTTTGAACGATAGTGCAAAGATAGATTAGGATAATAAAGCTTAGCCTAAAAATGTTGCTTAAATAGAGACAAATTTGGATGATTTAAAATATTCAGAGAATCTATATTTTTTTATTTTTTTGTGCAGGGTCCCCCAGGAACTCCTGGAGGAAAGGTAAGCACTTCAGCAGCATTTTCATGAATTAATTTAATCATTTTATTTATTTTTTTGCCTTCCTTAATGAAGTTCACCCATGAGCTGTGAACATGCCTCTGTCTCTCAGCACTTTAGTAAGCACCGGCATGTAAACCCATCCAGGCAGAGCCAGCTGCTTTGTCCTCATATTTAACATGAGGATGTAATCATGGATGCAATAATTTTTTTGAGAGCATTAATGACCATGGACAGGTGGAAACCTCCGGACCCGTCTGCTTTATGTACTGCAATGCTTTCTGAGAACTGAAACCCTGATCCTTTACCCATCATCCCCAGGGAGACGCTGGCCTGCCCGGTCAACCAGGAGCACCAGGGAAAGAGGCCAAAAGGGTGAGTAAACCGATGCAGGTCGCCGCCTGTGTGGGCTGGATCCATGTTGCGTATAAGTGTTTGTGTGACTGAGCCATCAGCCAGACGGGCTTTTGGGAGTGACCCGGCAGCAGCTGGAACGAGAGAAAGATCGGGGAGCTCTGTGTGGGCCTAGTCTCATGGGAATGACTGTGAATATTCAACTGTAAGGTCAATCGTAGACTGACAGCATGTGTGGCCGACCCCAGCAGGAAACAATCTCAAGGGTGATTTACTGTTCAGTCGTGACATGCTCGAACGTATTGATAAAACGATACTGTTTCATTATTGATTTTATCCTTTGTTTCTCATCGCCACCGGCCAAGGGTTAAATTGTTAGTCTGCCCACGGCACGAAAGCTTTATGTGAAATTTGACTGCCTGCAACAAATTGCGGTTGCGCGTTCCGCTTATTTGAATTACCTAAGCCGCTGAGCCATTTCACTAGAGGCGCGCTAACACCTGTTAACGCAAATGTTATCTCGGCTCCTCGAGTGGTTAATGGTCCTGAATGGTGTACAGTTGTTTCTCGACTCCCTTGAATGTGATAAAAAGTATTAAAAATGCATGCCACTTAGATGGAGGAGAATACTTGGGTCTGCCGCAGGGACTGTAAGCACAGCATTAAGCCCATTCAACAGAATGAATGAATATTTATAATCCTCCGCAGTGGTGTTCACTGGAGTGTTATCATGACACTGTTGGGTATTTTCAGTTCAATGATGGATTGAGTGATGCACTGTACCATAGACATCTGGATTTTGTCCACATTGGTTGGGAGCGTTTCCACTCGGAATGGCAGTGGAATTCCTTGCTCAAGTTCACAAATGGTGTGTGTATTCAGTGTGCAACAATGAGGAGTATTGAGGATTTCATTAAAAAACATTTTTTTTTAATATATTTTCATTTCTTTTAAAGTTATTGTTATATATTGTAATTTATTTGATTAATTTATTTTGTTTATTATTTTGTGAAAATTGGCTAGAAATTAGAAAGGTAGAAATTATAAAGCTACTGTATCTAACTCCAAATATATTCATTAAAACAATTTTGTTGAGCTATAATAAAATATTACGAATTTGTTTTAAACTTTTTTTTAAATATTTTATTTTTAAATTATTTATTTATTTCTGAAAGTTTGACAGAAATGTGAAATTATACAGCTGTCTAACTCCACATAAATTCATGAACAGAATTTTGTTGGAAGCTTATAATGAAGTAATTACGAATTTGTTTGCATTTTTTTACGTTTTATTTTGAAAGTAATTATTTATTTCTAAAAGTTTGATAGAAATTAGAAATTATACAGCTGTCTAAATCGACATAAATTCATTAAAACAATTTTGTTGGAAGCTATAATGAAATCATTACAAATTTTTTTTTGCAACTTTTATGTTTTATTTTGATGATTATTTATGAAAGTTTGATAGAAATTATACAGCTAACCTTTACATAAATTAATTAAAGGGGTCATATGATACTTTTTTTAAAGATCATTATTTTGTGTATTTGGTGTAACAGAATATGTTGATATGCTTTAATGTTCAAAAAACACATTATTTTTCAAATACTGTAGATTATTGTAAGTCCTCTATGCCCCGCCTCTCTCAAACGCTTCATTTTCTACAAAGTCCCTCCTTCCGACAAGCGCAGTCTGCTCTGATTGGCCAGCTGACCCAGTGCATTGTGATTGGCCGAACACCGCAAGCACTCGTCTGAAATGTAACGCCCCTTACCATAATCGCGAGCTTCATCTTTCAAAATAAATGTAAAGACAGAGCCCGAAAGGGGAACAGAGTCTCGTGACAGACACACTGATGAATATGTGTTTGCAGTACACAAGCTACGGTTAAGACAGCTGACTCCACTGTGATGTGACCCTATCTCTCTCTCTCTCACTCTCTCTCGGTGCATGCTGGGAAGTGCGGAGTTGGTGTAGGGGAGGGTGAGTCCGGTGGTGGTGAGAATTTAAAAATTGTTTTCTTTTCTTGGTATCTTTATTTCATTTTTCTTTAAATTGCACCTTAAACATACTTTGTAATTAGTTTGTAACTAGCTCTCAGCTCGTTGTAAGTTGGGTTCCTGGTGGCCTCGTGTTTGGGAGGGATGGCGTCTCACCTGAGAGTGGAGGTGTCATCCCTATCACTCAGACATGGGGTTAGATGTGTTACTAATGCGGGAGTTGCGGTTGAGGATGTACTAGTGGATGTAGGAGAACGAGTGGGACATGGAAATATTGTGTTGGCGTCTCGGATGAATAAGGCCGTTGTAGTTTTCCTGAAAGACGAACTACTCGTTAATCGTTTGGTTGAAAGCAGAATTACGGTAAGTGGGAATTTTTTTCCAGTACAACTCTTGGCTTCTCCAACAACAAGGGTAACGATAGGTGTATATGTTTCTGAATTCACCGAATTTAAATGTTTCATTTAGATGTGTTTTTGATGGTAAGTTGTATATGGTGTATGCTAGCGCTGGAGAAATTGGATGTTTTGAATGCGGCTCAATTGGGCACGTCAAATTGTCGTGCCCTTTTAGAAGCGAAGTAGACAGTGAGGCTGGCCCGAGTAGTGTTTCGGTTGAGAGAACAAATAATACAGTGTTGGAAGGAACTATTAGTAGGGAAGCTAAGTCGCTAAATATTGAGAATGGAGTTGAGATTGGAGGGAATTCCCAACAAGAAGGACAGTTTACTGATGGGGATGTTCTGGCAATGTTCAATGTCAGGAAAATGTTGAGAATGTAATTGGTAAGTCTGTTGTAACTGATGGAGGAGTTCTTAGTAATCAGGTTCTACAGCAAATTGAAGCAGTGGATGAGATAACAGTAGTAGGCCAGATGGAAATTGAAAGTAAAAAAGTAGTAGAATCGAAGGCTTTAAGTGGTGGTGATTTTCCTTTACCAAAGATAGTGTTGGGGTCTGATAAGGAAGTGGGTAATGAGGATGATGACGATGATGAAAGTGTTCAGTCTGATTATTCGGATGTATCTGATTTCTCACAAATCACCTGTGAGCAAGTATATTCATTGGAAGAGTTAAATGATTTTATGGATGAGACGTTTGGAAAACCTGTCGATGTAAGGAATTTTTTTCCTAATGTGAAAAAGTTTGAAACTTCAGTTCTTTACTGGCAGAAGAGGGTTGGAGAAGAAGGTTTGAGTCAGAGGAAAATATTCCATTTAAAAAAGATACTTTCAAAGCTAAGAAGAGGGAAAACGTAAATTCAATATTTGGCCCAAATGAGATGCACTTCACATAAGGTGACTTTAATACTCTTCCTTTTCTGTCTGTCTCTTCTTTCTTTTGTTCTTAGTCTTCTTATGGAGATTATAAGAGTGGGCTCCTTAAATATCACTGGAGGAAGAGACAGGGGCAAGAGAGCAATGGTTGCTGAAATAATTAAATTAAAAAATATAAACATTACATTTTTACAAGAAACAGATACAGATTGTGATAATGAGGTAGAATGGCATAGATGGTTGGATGGGAAGTGTTTCATTAGTCATGGATCAAATATAAGTGCGGGTGTGGCTAGTCTTTTTTCAAAAAATATGGATTTAAATATTTTGTCGACCATAGAATTAGAAAAGGGTAGAGTTTTAATAGTTAAAGCAGAAATTAAGGGGTTTGTATTTTAATTTATTAATGTTTATGCTCCTAATAAAGGACCAGAACGTGTTGAGCTTTTTAAAAAGTTGCAAAATACATTAAGACAACAAAATGATGATTTCTGTGTGATAATGGGTGGAGATAGGAATTGTACTACTAATTTCTCATTAGACAGAAATGGAGAAGAAACTCACCCAGTCTAGTCATGCACTTCTCAGTTTAACTAAAGAGTTTGAGTTAATGGACGTGTGGAGGGATAGAAATCAGATGATTAAATGGTATACATGGATTAAGATGTTAGATTCCTCTGTTACTGGTGCAAGTTTAGACCGATTATATGTTAGTAAGAAGGAAAACAATAGAATCATGAATGCAAATATTTTTCCTAATGTTTTTTCTGATCATCATATTGTTACTATTGATTTTAGTATTAATATAGTACCACGTCCAAAGTATTATTGGCATTTTAATGTAAAACTATTGCAGGATAAATCTTTCTGTGAGAAATTTAGCTTCTTTTGGGAAATTTGACTCAGTGGTGGGAGGTTTGGAAAACACAGATCAGGGTCTTTTGTCAAGCATATTCTTATAATTCGACGGTACATTTAAAAAGGAAAATAAAGCAAATGGAGAATGACCTTTATGATATGGAAAATTTGATTGATGTTAATAATGAAGGACCAATTAAGGAATTAAAGAATAAGAAAATGGATTTGAAGTTTTTTTGGAGGAAAGAGTAAAGGGCGCTTTGATTAGAGCAAGAATAATGTCTATTAAAGAAACTGATGCTCCTACTTCTTATTTTTTAAATTTAGAACGAAAAGTTGAACAAGAGAAAGTATTGCATTGTTTGCGTCGTGAGAATGGGACATTGACTTCAAATCCATTGGAAATTAGAAAAATGGCTGTGGATTTACACTGATTTATTTAAACCTACTGACTGTGTTTCTGGAAGCATGGATCAACTGTTGCAAGGGTTACCTAAGCTGAAGGATATGGACAAAGAAGAGCTTGAAAATATGATCCCGTTTAATGAACTCTCTGAAGCAGTTCAACAACTCACTATAAGTCGAGCACCAGGAATTGATGGCCTACACTCTTAAAAATAATGGTGCTTCACGATGCCATAGAAGAACCTTTTTGTCTAAATGGTTCCATAAAGAACTTTGAACATCTGAAGAACCTTTCTGTTTCACAAAAGGTTCTTTGGGGTGAAAGAAGGTTCTTCAGATTATAAAAAGGTAAGAAAGAGATGGTTCTTTAAAGAACCTTTGACTGAATGGTTCTTTGTGGAACCAAAAATGGTTCTTCTATGGCATCGCTTGAAGAACCTTTTGAAGCACCTTTATTTTTAAGAGTGTACCAGCAGAATTTTATAAGAACTTTTGGAGCATTTTAGGCAGAGACTTTCATGAAGTAATTTGTGAATGTTTTGTGAGAGGAATACTTCCAAGTAGCTGTCAAAGGGCTGTGTTATCTCTAATTCCAAAAAAAAGGAGATCTGGGTTTGTTAAAAAATTGGAGACCAGTTTCTTTAATGTGTTGAGATTATAAAATAATATCTAAATGTTTAGCCAATAGGATAAATAAATATTTACATGTTGTGGTGAAGAAGGAACAAACATATTGCATTCCAGGTCACACAATTATGGATAATTTGTTTTTAATGAGAGATGTTATAGCTGTTTCGATTAATAATAATTGTGATGTCGGGTTTTTATCTATTGATCAAGAAAAAGCCTTTGATCGTGTTGGACATGCATATCTTTTTGAGGTTTTAGAAGCTTTTGGGTTTGGGAAAAATATTATTGCTTGGATAAAGTTGTTGTATAATAATGCATCTGTTTTGATCAAGATAGGAGGAGGGGGGTTGAGTAGACCAGTAGTTGTTAAAAGAGGCATTAGGCAGGGGTGTCATCTTTCAGGGCAGCTATATAGCTTTGCAATTGAACCTCTGTTATGTAATTTAAGAAATAATTTGAGAGGTTTTTATGTTTCAGAAAACGTCAAATGTTTTGTGTCTGCATATGCAGATGACATAAATGTTTTTGTAACTGGTCAAGAAGATATTCAAGCACTTTGTAAGAGCCTAACTCTATTTGAAAAGGCTTCTTCTGCAATGGTAAACTGGGGAAAAAGTGAGGGGTTTATTATGTGTGAATGGAGGA